TATCCTATTTATTTAACCAAATTAACATCTTAATTACACCAAAAAATGGAATTCAATGATGATTAAAATCGCATGAAATCCAAAATATTACTATAAACTAGTATGTTGACCAAAGTTTGTATATCAGTTGACTACTTAGAGTAAGTTAATGTGTCATCAATGCAGTTCAATAATTAAGCTTCTGTGGTGGCAAGATAATAATGTAAAATATTGGTTTCTTAAATTGTTGATAATTAAAAAGTTTTGCATAATTCCAGAAGACGTACCTACACTTTATGCAATTTTTTCTTTTCATGACGTGGCAGTTTCTGCGCTCATGAATATTCATTAATTTGTGGGTCAATACATTCTAAAAGAGGTGATGTATTATTTTGAGGGGCAAGAGTTAAAAGGGGGAATTAGCAATCCTTAATACAAAAGAAAGGACCAATTTGGAGAGCAGCAACGATCCTTGTGTATGTTGGTGTACATGTGACTTGCAGCTGTTAACCCTATTCCTATTTTGAGGACTGAAGACCAGAGGATTCAAAACTGCAAGCTCTCATATTGCCGACAGTGTACAAATCCAATGAACCATGTGGGTAGTAACACAAATAAATAATTTGTTGTAATACTTAGCTTTATTGCAAGTTAGTGTTTGTTTCCTGATCACTATGTAGACAACTGACCCACAAGACCACAATGGACTGACTTGTCTTTACATTTGATGAGACTATCTAGTGTGTATATATAAAGATATACTACATATTTCCCTTATTGAGTCACAATTGTCAATAATATTGCCAATTTGGTGTTTTTCTCCTTGTGTAAACTATAAGTATGTGATAACCCATTAGTATACACCATGAGTCTCAGCCAATTTGGTGTTTGCCATTTGTGTTGACCATACCTGACCCGACCCTAACCCTAATACCAAGACACGTTCCTGTTAATAATTGTAGCTCAATAATGATACTCTTTTGTGCACTGTCTACTGGTAAGTTGTCAAATGATTAAACAAGTCCTGTTTAATTAATTTCCACCATTACAAGTTGTTAAATTCTGAAAATAAATGTGTGGACGAATATTTGGGACTTATTTTGATGTAATCAACTTCTGCAGAGAGTTCTCCGAACCCGCCTATTCACATAGTTCATACCCACCATAGACTCCGGTCAATCAAAATGACTATTTTGAACTGTAGGCAATAATCAGCAATTCTGCCAATGACTGAGAGATAGAATCTAAGTCAGGGTAAGCAACATGACCCCAAGATTCTTTTCCCTTATTCACTCTGGTTCCTTTCTCTCTGCATCAAGGACTTGGTCCAACGCTATGGAAAGAGTGGGGCTGTTGGGGGGGGGGGGGGGGGTCTATGGTGGGTATGAAGTATGTGAATAGGCAGGTTCAGAAAACCCTCTGCCTAAATTCACTACGTTCAATTACCCATCATAGACTCTGGTCAGTCAAAATGACTATTCATATGCTGATAGGTGGTGGGTTTTCCGAGCAAACAGAAAATGATGAAAGTCTTTTCCCAGTCCGGGATGAAACACTCTACAACAATCACTCATCACCTAGTTAAGACCCAAAAGAGGGTGGTGTCTTACCTTGCCTGTGCTGTCCCCGGAGCAAGAAGCAAAAAATGCTGCTACGGAGACCCAAAGCTAGACTCAAAACCCTAATTTAGGGGGTAGTATGCTTTCGAAGTAAAGACCAAAGCAGTTCTGCATGAGGGCATAGGTCAAAAAAGCGAGACCTGGGAGCTTCCAGAGAGTGCTGATGGTAGAAAAATCTGTCTGCAAAAATGCTGAGACTGACTTATCGCCTATGCGCAGGGACCCTTGTGGTCGTTCGGGCTGGGTCAGCAATCAAAGTCTGACCCCCTACGACGGGACCCAACCTGAAAAGACCCTGCTCAATAAGCGTTGAAGCAACCGTAAGTAGTCAGCGAACTGTCTCCTTTCCACTTAAATATGTGAGAGAGAGAGAGTGTTCGAGAGTGAACTCCAGTGAAAAACACATGCATTCAAGGAACCCTGCACACAGCCATGACAAAAAGTATATCATATGCGGGTTCTATGCTGGTAAATTCTGAATACAACCATTGCACAGTCAACCCAAAAAACGAGAAGACAAAACAAGCGACAACGAGCTTCTGGTGCTGTCATTACATCTATTCATTTCTAAATACGTAGATCAAGCATAAAATGGAGACAACATGCATGAGGGAAGCGAACTACAGTTGGAAAAGGTGACGTAACGAAATCAACAAGTAATTAAACTACGACGCAGGGTTTTATCTCTTTGTTGTGAAAAATGCTACACACAAAAAAGAAAACGACACAAGGGTAAAAATGACAAGAAAAACTTATCCTACCAGCTGCGGAAACAACCCAAGCTAGAAACCAGGACAGAAAAAAGCAAGCGATCCAGGCAGAGCGCTAGACTTCATCCCCGCTCGATGCGGAGAAAAAGCAGAGAATATCCAGCCAGAATGGCACCGCCATATGGGCTGGGTCACGTGGTTTGTGACGTAAGGGAAAAGAATCTTGGGGTCATGGGGCTTCCCCTGACCTAGATTTTATCTCTCAGTCATTGGCAGGATCGCTGATTAATGCCTACAGTTCAAAATAGTCATTTCGATTGACCGGAGTCTATGGTGGGTAATTCAACGTAGTGAATTTATTTTGGTGTAGACAAGTCACGTTTGATTATTCCCTACAATAACAAGTTGTTAAATTGGGAGAATTAATGTCTCAACAAATATTTAATACTTATTTTGTTGTAAACAACTCATGTTTGATTAATTCCCACAATTAGAAGTTGTTAAATTGAGAGAATAAATGTGTGGACAAATATTTGAGACTTATTTTGGTGTAAACAACTCACGTTTGATTAATTCCCACAATTACAAGTTTTTAAATAGAGAGAATAAATGTCTCAACAAATATTTAAGGATGCTGTACACGTTTTTGGTATTGATTTTCTAAACTGATATTTTCATATAAAATATTTACTGAACCACACAAAGCTATATATTGATGGTAAGCCTATTTCACACTGGATATGAAATCGACAAGATAGTGTGTGTATGGACGTGTATAGACGTGTATAGTCAGGTGAACTCTGTGTAAACACAGAAAGCCATTTTCGGTAAAAAAAAATAATTGAACCAATGAATAAATGAATTTAGTTTTTCAGACGACGCTCACCACCATTCCGCGTTAATTGAGATATATCTACATGATAGTTGGAGAAGAAATAATAATTTAGCTATCTTGAAAAAAACAATGCGATCTGGTTCTTTCCGGTATTCAGAAATTAGAACGTAATTTCGAAACAAATATGAAAATAGAAAAATCCCAGCGCCGTTTGAGAGGGAACATAGATTTTATTTTACTACGCAAGATGTTTCGACGAAGATCT